CCCCCCCCCCCCCCCCCAAACCAAGCTAAACGCCTTATGCACCCCCTGAACCCCCTAATTCCCCCTAAAACGCTCTAAACTTCCCTTAAACCCTCTAAACCCCCTACACCCTTTAAGGAGAAACTCTGAGTTTAGGCAGAAGTCTGAAGAAGCCCAGATCTGAAGCAAGTCCCGTGCGTTCTCCATTCAAGACCGCCCCCAAAACCCCGAACCTTTGATGCCGCTTTGAGACTTGAGTTTAGGGTTTTATACGGATGCGTTGGGCTGTTTAGGGATAATTATAGAGGATTTGCTGGGCTGTCTAGGTATAGTTTTGGGTGGTTTCGTTGGGCCGCTCGGCCTTGGTTGCGGCAGGAGCGAATCGTGAAGGTCCGCATCCTATCAGAGCCAGACAGTCGCCGGGCCCGCAATCGCTTAAAGAGCTTGCACTGAACTGCACCTGCACAAGAACCCCTAAAGCTCAAGATCTAAACCCGAAAAGCTCTAATCCATGTCCAGGCACACGACAAGTCCCTACTTTGGGGGTGTAAAGCCCTTCAACACTGCATAATTACTTTGGGGGTCAGCCGCCGATATGAAGTCTATATGTCTTTATGCGATTGAAAGGGGGCAAATGATCCAATATCTAAGTTCTACTAGCAAGTCAGCGAAGTTCTGTCGTGTTTTGAATTCGGCGGTGTAGGATTGATAAGCTAAGCCCCATCGAACCTCCCGAAAGCCGATCCTTGTCCGGGGTTTAGGGCTTTTTAACCCACCAAGTTGTAAACACGCCCTGCAGTTCCAAAGGTTGTTTTCAAGGCTTAAACTTCAATTTCACTGGCCTCAGAACCCTAAACCCTAAGCCCTACTCAAACAGCAAACTCCCGACATACTCCCCGGAACTTTGCCGTTCCCAGGTTGCCAGCTGTCAAAGTATGTCAACATGACCTGCACCTTGAAAGGTGGGAGTTGGTAGGGTTCAGGGTTTAGGGTTTGGCAATGCACCTTGAACGGGTGGGTCGAGTTCATGATGCGGTTTGGCCCCTGAGCCCACCGGCCCGGTCTGCCCCAACACCTATAATATAGAAGACTAAAGAATCACCCGTACTATTCCTTAGCATTCCTTATTTTGACTAGAGTATAATAAAGGAGCCCCAAACCATGTTCAATCTATTTAGGGCCCGACATTTCACCCACCCCTAAACCTTCACACCCAAGCCATCATCTACACTAAGTTCCTGCCGTTTTACAAACGGCGGGCCATATGTCCAAAAGCGACTGCTGTCGCTGTCGTTGGCAGGAGCCATCGTGGGCGTGAGCTCCAGACCATGCATAGGACCGGATTGGGGGATTCGAGCTCTTGGCCGAGTTTGGGTTTCGTAACTTCCGGTTTTGGCTTTACCATGGTCTAGCATGGGGTGGTTTTCTAAATTAGGGTCCCTTTTAGGGTCCTTTTTTATAAGGGTGCCGTACTATATTGGGGACCCAAAGAGGGACCCTAATTTAGAGAACTACCCATGGTTTACCTCAGCCATCCTGCACCTTGAGTAACCTGCCTTTTTTTGTTGGGGGGATCGGTTTAGGGTTTAGGGTTTAGGGATCCTCTGGGTGAGTTGAGGACATAAGTCCTCAAAGGCCCTACCTTTGTTTGGGTTCCATATGATGAGCTCCTCATATTAACAAGTCCTGGAGGTCTCTTCGGATCCAGGTCGGTATTCGAGTTGTGGGGCCCGTTGCTTAGGCCTTGCGAGTGCGACCGGGTGCTGGGGAGGTAAGGACGAGCAGGAGGAATGTAGACAGAGGTTCCACACAATAACTATACTAACTATACATAGTTATGCAACAAAATCACCCAATATGAACTAAGTATGAAGATCACATATCTTAGACTGAACTTCCGAAGTCTTCGGCGGCAAAGGCCCCCAAACCCTGGCAGGAGATCGATGCTCTGGTACTCAGTGCGGGTGGCTCGTCCGTCATGAGCCTTGGGTTTAGGCACTCAGCCCTGTAATTAATTAAACCCTAAGCCCCCTAAACCCTAAACCCTAAACCCTAAACCCTAAACCCTAAACCCTAAACCGTGCTGAGTCTCAGCTCTGTAATTAATTCAACCCTAAGCCCCCTAAACCCTAAACCGTAAACACAAGCTTGGGCTCCAAAACACTGAATCCTGAAACCCAGCGCCCCCATAGCATGGAGGCATACAGAGTTCACTTAGGACTTGGGGTGCTTACATAGATATAGGAAGGAAACATAAGGAAGTGTAAGGAACAGTATTACCACATGGGTAGTCCTCTTAATTAGGTTTTTGTTTAAAAATAGGGTGCTGTACTATTTCAGGGGATCTAAAACGGGACCCTAATTTAGAGAACTACCCATCTCGTGAAGCCCATCGCACAGAACTTAGAGGATGTTGGAGGGGCAAGCAGCGTCCGAGCCGAACTATGGAGAGTCTTCTGAAAGGGTGGACGTTGACTGCAACTTTCGCAGTAACTCAGTAGGGCATATTAAGAAGGACGGTATGGATGCCCCCCCACGATGTCGATGATGAACCCTAAACCCTAAACCCTAAACCTTAGACCGGTGAGTTCGGGTCTCAGCCCCAGACCTGAAGCTGCTCGCACCTGGCTGAGTAAGGCAGTTTAGGGTTTAGGGTTCAGGGTTTAGGGTTTAGGGTTTAGAGTTTAGGTTTCAGGGTTTAGGGTTCGGGGTTTAGGGCTCGGTGTTTAGGGTTCAGCGTTTAGGGTTTAGGGTTGCCGCTGGGTCCACTGGTGGTTCCACCTTCCTGTGATGGAAGGGCCTTTGGCAGAAGTCTTTCTTGAGCAGCTCCAGCATGATGCATTGAGGTGACTATCAACCGGAATGACCCTCATGCATTGATCTGACTTTCGAGAGGCAAGGGCGCCCAAGGTTAAGGATGGAGACTCGGTCCTCCCCAAGAAGACCCAGGATTTTTGCGTCTTCGATCACCTGGGCCAGGTGCATGTCGTGTCCGTGGATCAGTGGATCACCGGCCACCAATGGACCAAGTCTTTCATGACCCCCAGCAGGCTTTCTAGTGTTTATTCCGGGGTTGCATGATTGAAACTGAATAATTGTCGGAAACAGGATACCCTTGTCAAATGGGGGCCGGTGAGAAACGACATCTCATGCCATGAGTGCAATGTTGATGCCGAGGGCTGAGGGTTGAGGGTTTTAAGTGTAACAAGATTAAAGCTACCTTAAAGCCTGAACCTGAAACGTAGACTCTGCAGCTTTCACCAGGCCATGCATGCCAGGATCCTCACATCAAGCCCAGCTCCTTAATCCTAACACCCAACGCACCCCAGGCCCCCCCAAACCGATTCATCAGCTGTCAACCTGAAGCCCGGCTTAGGGTTTAGGGGTTTAGGGTTTCGGGTTTAGGGGTTCAGATTCACAGGTCTCTTGACGAGCCGGGATCAGATGGCTACCACGAGGCCCTTTGTTCGGGCGGCGTGGGGCGAAACTCCTATCGTTTCCTCATGTTTGCTTCAGGGCTTTTGGGTATGGGGTTGGTCTCGTACACACAGACACACATCTATCTATCTATCTATCTATCTATCTATCTATCTATCTATCTATCTATCTATCTATCTATCTATTTATTTTTTCTATCTATCTATCTATCTATCTATCTATCTATCTATCTATATATAAGCCATATGC